AATAAAACTGATATAGCATAGAAAGTTAAACTTATTTAAATTTTTTTGCTATTTTGTAGTCGAGAAATATAACTTTGAAATTTAAACTAGCTTAAATAGCTATTTTTTTAGCCGATGGTAGTGACGTACGGTTGCCAAGTCGATAAAATTTGTATTATACGCGTTGGGGGTATAAGGTTCCAACCCGCGTATGGCAATGAACTTCTTGCATTTTTTCTTAATTCTTTTAGTTAGAATAATAAAGTTATAATAAATTTTCAACTGCTTTGATTTTTATCTCATTTAGATTCAATAACTTCAATATAGATCAAGGATCCCATCACTGTAGTCGCCGCTCGCAAGAAGAAATTTTTTATTCATATTAAAATTATTTTACTATATTTTAAGTTTTAGCTTCGATGCAAAGCTGAGAAGATATTTTTTTGTGACTATCATTTATTTTCTCTGCTCTAACTTGACCTACTTTTTTCAACGATACGTCAAATGATTACAATTTGTATCTAGTTGGAGATATTACCCTCAAAAATTGAAACAAAATTCTAATTTATCATTTAAACAGTTACTTATCCCATGTTCTCCATACAGACAATTAAAATCATTCATTTATAATGTTTTCAAAGTATTTATTGACGAATGAATCAAGTTCGATATGATAGGTTTCAATTACAAAATTTAATCATTTTACTGTGTAATTTAATCATTTTTTTCTCTATTTGTGTGTGCTACTATTAGACTATAATATTCTAAATATTTTGACAACATGTTGCTATATATATCACTTCTATGAAAAATTATTGTTAGTTTATCCTGAAATAACAATGAATTTTTAGATTTTTTTAACAACTTTATTTTGATTAATTATTTTAGTTAAAATAAATCATTAAATTTAATTCAGTTCATATTTCAAATGTAGAATCTTTTTAAACACCAAAAGTTACTAGGAAATTATTACTATTATTTCTATTTAAGTTATCTATTACGATAAAAAGGAAAAAAAAATATTGAGCTTTTCTGATAAATTTATTATAAATAGTAATTATAAAATTTCCGGACTGCATATTAATCTTAATAAAACAATTTTTTTAATTCTCATAGAATTTCAAATTTAATGATGTCAATTTCAAATTTGCAAATTGAGCTAAAAGTTATGGTAATAAATAAATTTTTTTTTATTATAAACTTTCACAAAAATCAACTTTAAAGGATTAAAAAAATAGGTTAAATATGTCATTTTCCTTATTTTTAACCAATTAATAATTAAAATCAGTATTAATTTAAAACAACTTTTTTATTGTTCTTAATATTTTTGTATTTGTAAATACTTATTTTTTAATAATATTATTAATATTAAAATTTAGAAGTGATAGAAAAATTCTAATTGCACATTTGAAAACATCTCGAAAAGTTGATTTAGAAAAGTATACTTTTGTTTTTGATGAAAGTTCCTTATTTAAGTTCCTTGTCCAGTGTATAAAAATTATAACTTTATTATAAGTAACAAAATTTTTTTTTTTTTAATTATTGCATCAAGCCCTTTAAATTTTTATACGCGTTTAAAGTAAAGAACTATACAACTACTTCATTATTTTTATAATATTTCTTTAAAAATTACAATATTAAATTATTGAAAATCAATTTTATACTAAATTTAATTACTATAATTATTATTTATTTACATATTATAATATTAAATCAAATAACAAATCGGCATAAAATTAAGGGAATAAGAGTTATTGTTGCTTTTGAAATAATTGATCACTATCTACAGATTTGCATCGAAGCGTTTCTTATGATAGTGATTTTAATCATTGTCAGATATCATCTATACTTGTACCAACTATGCCACGTCTATACTGTACCACGACCCTACTGTGCTACCGTTTATTTTTTATTCTTCTTTAATAAAACTAAAAATTTTTTATTTTAAAATTTCAAATCAGCTATTTTTAGCTCTTGTTTTACCTAAAATGTTGATGATTTGATAACAACTTTAATATTAGTATTAATTGAGTTACCAGTATTTTAGTATATGGATTGGGTATGTACCACTACATAAATATTAGATTATAATTGAGCTATTAATTGTCTTTTTCATTTAACTAAACCTTATTCAAACATTTAACAATTTTGTTATGTTACAGTACTAATATATTATGCTTCTTTTTATAAATAGAATAATATAGAATAACTTATTTATCATGGAACACTTAATTAATCGAAAAATGAAAATATTAAGAATTTTTGATTTGTTTCTTTTAGTTCAATGTTTCTCTCAATTTATCAATCATTAAGTTTTTTATATTCATCTATATACCTTATAAGTTATAAGGTAATAACAACACCCCTAATTAATTAGTTTAGGAGATAATGTTTGGGCGGGGGGCTACCAAACTTATGTCGCTCACCTCGGCACCTGTAAATTCTTATAAGGAATGAGTGGACTATATACATAGGTAGTATCGTCTGCTCATACACGACCTTACTTGAGCCGAAGAGATTGTCTGCAGGAAACAAGAGGGTGTGTGAGACAGGTAATAGATGTAATTAAACTATGAATAAAAAATGATTAGATTAGCAGTTATTACAGAGATGTATTAAAAATATACAAATAAATAAAATAATATTACCACTTTGGTACAATCAATTTACTATAAAAGTTAAACAATAATTTATATATACACATATAAATTTTCTGAACTGCAATAATAATCAATAAAATGTATATAAATAATACATTCTCTAAATAAATATCAAATAATATAAGATCTACCAACTAATAAATATTTTGAACCAGACTAAAATAAACGTATTCACTCAACAATTATGAGACTCTGTAGAACACAAAAGTAAGTAGAATATAAAAAAATTAAATAATAATGATTATATCCCTCTTTTGACATTTATTAAGTTTTAACTTCAATGCGAAGCTGAGAAGGTATTAATTTACTATGATGTGTTTTTAGCTTCGATGCGAAGCGGAGAAGGTATTAATTTTACTATGATGTGTTTTTTTTTTTTTTTATGTCTGTTGCCACTTTTTCTCAGCTCTCACTGGACCGATTTCTTTCAAAAATACGTCAAAAGATTACAAATCATATCTAGTTGAAGACATTACCCTTAAAAATTGAAAAAAATTCCCTCGTTCCCCGCAAATGGGGGAAATATCCAAAAAAATTACAAATTTAAAAATCGCTAATTTTCGAAATTTTTTCACTTTTTTTTCTTAATACTTCCATAACTTTTTGAAAAATCAACACATCTACATAATTTTTCATAATTATCATCTATACTGGACCCAAATATGCCACGATCCCAATGTGCTGGGTTTTTTTATTTCTTTTTGTCTATTACCACTTTTTTTCAGTTTTCACCGAACCGATTTCTTTTAACGATATGTCAAAAAATTACAAATCATATCTAGTCGAAGAAATTACCCTTTGAAATTGAAAAAGTTTCCCTTGTTCTATGTAAATGGGAAATATCTCCAAATTACAAATTTAAATATCGTTAATTTTCGACATTTTTTTTTACTTAAAACTGCCATAATTTTTTTAAAAACGATCAAATCAATATAATTTTTTTTTGATACGCAAGATATTTACCTATCATTTTGTATATTTTTTTTGTAAATCTGACCCTTTACCTGCCTACAGGGGTGATTCCAAATGACAACTTTTTTAAAAAAAATTAATTTTTTCAACTTTACTTTGAAAATGTTCCGGATACTCTGACACTTTTATACATATCTTAAATTAATGATAATGTAATATACTTTATTATGGAAAAAAAAATGTTCGGACTTTATTTTGTCTTCACTTTGAAAATAGTTACCGAATGCTATTTTTGTGTTAAAATTCTCGATTTTATATTTTACATTTCTAATTTTATATTCCTATAATTTATTGAAAAAAATGTACAGATTAATACAATTTTCTTATGAGAAATACTATTTATATGTCTCTTTCATTAGACATACTTTTTTTAAAATCGTATCACTTCCCTTAATACAGAGAAGTTCAATCTTAAAAATTCATATAAAAAATAGAACTCATTCAACTTAACTTTTGAAATTGTGTCCGGAAATACTGACACTTTTATATATATTTTAAATTAAAGCTTATGTAATATAATTTATTATAGAAAAAAAAATTCGGACTTTATTTTGTTTTTATGGTGAAAATTGATATCAAAGTTAATAAAAAAGTTACCATTTTTGTAAAAAAATTCATTTTTATATTTTTAATTTTATAATGCTATACATTTTTGAAAAATGTATAGATCATTATAATTTTTTTGAGATAAGTACTATTTATATTCTTCTTTTATGCAACATACTTTTATTTTAATCGGACCCTTTCCTTTTATATATTATAAATATATTACACTTATAAATCATAAAATTTGTAACCAGAATATAAATAAGGAAATTGATCATGTAGCTCTTGGAATAATCCACCAATTTTTTTAAATTAAACATTATCTACAGATTTTCATGGAAGTGTTTTTTAGGTTAGTGATTTTAATCACTGTCAGATATCATCTATATTGAACCCAACTATGCCAAGTCCCCACTGTGCCGCGACCCAACCATTAAATAAGCTAGTTCATTTTGTATGTTGTCATTTGAAAAAATAAAGCTGACATCTTTATAAGGGAAAAGGGATAAACAAAAAATTATTTGTTATTGATATATTAAAAAATATTATCTAAAGGAAATAAAAATAAAAAAAAAATTCAATTTAACTTTTAATTTTTGACTAATTAAATTGTTTGCTAGTTAATTAGGGGTGTTACCATCTGAGAAATTTAAGCTGACATCCTTTTAGCTACTAAAGCCAGCTATTCTTTCATTTATTTTAAGAAATTTTTACTTCATATGTAGACCTGAAATAGCCTCACTATTTGCTTTTTACAACTGGCTGAGGTAACATGGAAGCATACTGATCCCTTTCTACGGGAATTTCCTAGTTATATTTGTTAATGAATAAAAAAAATGTTAATGAATGCAAAAACCAGGGATTTTAATACAATTTTTAATTAAGAACATAATAATATAAAATTTGTTTTAATTTTTGAAATTGATCTATTTATTATATCATAATGTATTTAAATTAAACTTAAAATAAATAAATTTGGAAACACTTTATAATCCAATTGTAAAATGTTGTCCTTTTTTAATACCATAATGAATCATTCCTTTTTCTAAGTATGCCCAAGCCATCTTTTCAGATGAAAAACCAATCCCAATAGTACCTTCTTTTGATATAGCTATAGCACCTGCACTACCACCTATACGTGTAGATAATTTTTCACACTCGTTTTGAACAGCTAAATTTGGTTCAACACCTTTAAAAATTTATCATTTAATATAATTACACAAACTTGAAATTTAAAAAACATATAAAATGAATAACTCAAATATTGTAACAATTAATAAATATAAAAATATCTTGCCTTGTTCTAAATTAGTCATGATACGTTGAGCCAAACAATAACGCATTATACTGTCACCGTGACCAGTTGTTGAGACAGTACCAACTGCATTGTCACAGTAACCTCCAGCTCCAGGAACAGGAGTATCACCAACTCTTCCAGCCATTTTTCCAGTTATACCTCCAGTTGATGTACAAGATATCATGTGTCCATCAACGTTCATACCAATGGCACCAACTGTACCAACTCCTCCACTTTAATAGCATATAAAGAGTAATTCATTTATAACTTCAACTTTCAGATAAACCCTTACTGTCCAATTTCAGTAGTGACAGGTGAACCACCCATTTTTAAAAAATTTTCTAATGCTATTTTAGCTGCATCTGTCATTAAGTAATCATCACTGACCGTTTCAAATTTCATTTTAGTAGCAAACTCATTTGCGCTTTGACCCATAAGAAAAACGTGTGGTGTATTATCCATAACTTTTCTTGCTAATGCAATTGGATGTGCTATGTTTCTAACACCAGTGACACTACCTGCAAAAATTTAATGATTAGTTTTTTATTTATTAGAATTCAATAAATTCTTACCAGCATTCATATTTTTGCCTTCCATTATTAATGCTTCCATTTCTATCTCTCCTTTTAGATTTAACACAGATCCTCGACCTGCATTAAATGCTTCGTTATCTTCCATACTTTCTACAGCTGCTTGACATGTATCAATAATTGATAATGTATCTGTGTAGACAGAATGTGCTTTTCTTATTGCAGTTAACATGCCATCAAATTTAGGTTGATCTCGGTTATCAGGAATATTTCCAGCTCCACCGTGAATTACAATGATAGGTTCTTTAAACATTATACTTAAAACTTTATTTCATAAATAAAATAATTAAATACGTTTGCAACTTGAACGAGTTATTAAGAAACTATTATGAACACTCACTAGTATAAACATGAAATTTAATATATTTGATTTTTAGATTTATTTAAATTAACATGTAATAGTACATAAAATTATAAATATTACATAACCCACTGATAAATTATAATGCTATAATTCACATTATTAGATTACTTATCTGAATTTTACATTTCAATATTAGTCCATGAATATTAATACAATAGTACTAAAGGAAAATGCTTGTAATTGTCTATTTTATCTGTTTCTTGCTATTAATCATTCAGAACAAATATTTAACAGTACACAACATTATCATTTATGATAAGTATTCAATCACTTCAGTAACATACTGAAGTGTATTTAAATTGTTAACATTGTAGTAGTTACAATTCTTATATAATACAGATAACTTAACGTTTTTGAGTTATAAGCACGTGCAAGTTCACATGTTTACAATATGTCCTTAAATATGTACTAGAAAAAAAACATTAGTTGTATATTAAAAGTGAAATAATAAGGCAGACAACGCTCAAAAATATGACAAACTAATTTTTTGAAGAACAAATGAAATTGATATGCGATGTATATTTTTCACACTTTTTGATAAGTCAAAAATTATTTAATTAAAAATCGAACAATGGAAAATTCTTTCACATCAGACTTTTCATTTTTTAGTTAAAATAACTAACAACGGAAGTTGTAAGAACAGTTATTGAAATTAATGTCCAAGTAAGAGGTAAAGGAAGACCAAAAAAGAGTGGAGAGATGATATTGAGTGCGATATGAGGACAGATAATGTGTGCCTAGATTGTGTCAAGTGAAAGTTTAGGATAAGGGTGGCCGACACCAACTAGTTGCGATAAAGGCGAGGAAAGAGATTTTAAAATAACTAAAAACCAATTTTTTAGTAATGTGGTCACACAAGATAGGCTAAAAAATGATTATCAGGGTAATTCTATTTTTTAAATTTTATTTTAGTTTCGTTGCTTACATCATTTAGTATCTATTGGTGTCGAAAGTACCTTATTTATTACAAATTTACGACTGTCGATAAAAAAATGAGTACACTTTAATGTACCAAGAGTTTGAAATGGATAAAATATATTTAAGAATTTTTAAGAAAATTAAGCTCTACATAATATCATTTTTTATTTTTAAATAAATATATCTTCTTATTTTCTTCTTCTTTCTATATATTTCAGTGGTATGTTTAGGATTTTTCATATGGATATATATGAATTGAATATAGAAAAATATTTCACTATCCCTCAAAGTTATATCGCAGACTACATTTTCATATAGTTTATGGTTATCTCATTAACAGATTATTTTGGTTACGGAAGGTTTGAATTCTTGCAAAAAAAAATAAATTCTAAGGTTTTTTATTCAAAATGTGTTCTTAAATTAGATTTCCTAGAAATCTAAATTCTAAATGTGTTGTATAATGTATTTTATTTATTTTAACTTAAATTAAAATATAGAACATGTGATAATCATTATTTTATTTTTTTCTAAATTTGAACCAATTATTGCACCAAAAGAGGCATAATTTTAAGTTAATTACACAGTTTAGATGTACAAAATTATTGATGATTATATACAGTTTATAAACAATTAACTAAATAATACACAGTTTCATAAATAAGAAGTATAATAATTACAAATTATTAAATTAAAAATATTGATTAAATTAAAAAAGCAATATAAATAATCATATATTTCTTAAGATTTTAAAAATATATATTGTCTCATTCACTTATGTAAATATTATAAAATATAAAAATATGGTTATCAATAAATTGTATGTAATTACAATATAGTAACTAGTGACATTGCTTAAAACAGTAACTAAAACATTGTCACTAAAGAATTAAAGAATTAAAGAATAATACTTGTAAAAAATTTGGTCCTTAAAGAAATTTAGGGGGTTTAAAAAAAGAAAATAGAATTACAAAAAATATATATGTAACTAGTAATCACAATTTTTTAAATCTAGTAATACTTTAAATAATATAGGAATGAGATATGATTTATCTATTTTAAATATAAATTTATTAAAGACTACATATTACAAGTTCTAAGAAGACTGTTTTTCTGTAGATTTAGTACGTTTTCTACGTCTTTTTTTTCCTGAAGCATTATTAGCAGTTTTTTTTTCAATAACATCATCATCATCATCATCGTTATCATGTAATATTTTTGATGAAAATTCTGCTTCAGGTGTACTTAATTCCAATGATACTATTTTTTCTTTTGTTGTCTCAACCTAATGATGATAAAATGTACATTATAATAATAATTTTTCAGAAATATGATAATTCATAATGATAGAGTTATGTTAATTAATAAAAATAATTAATATTTTTAAAATCATTTTTTTATAGCATGCATAATTAAAGTAAATTAGTAAAGAGTTAATGATCAGATAATTTGAAGATTATTGAAAATTTTAAATTTTATGCTTCTATTATACATATAAACAATGAGTAGAATAATTATATTAAATTATATTTTACAGGCAACTATAATTTATTGACTACCATGCATCATGCTATAATATATTCAACTGTGTCAGGAGAACAAAATATTGTGTGAAATTCTGAAGGGAGGTACATTATTTGACTGTACCTCTTTTTCAATGACTTTTTCAACAACTTCGATGGTTCTGACTTTCAGTTGACCAGACTGATCAACATACTGCTCGGTGCGTAAGGATATGCTCTCGCCGACGACTGTCTCTCGTTCGGATACCTTGGTCTGGACAGGGGACTCGCGCAGGCGCAGGCGGGGAAAATCCTCGCTTGTTGGTCTCAAGCACTATTTAGCCACCACCAAATGCCAATTATCATATTAATATTACATTTTATTTAATAGTTTTTTTATATTAATGATTATTTTTAAGCATGCAAAATACAAATTTTTTATTAAATATTGTATCTTGAATTATAGTCAAATGACATCAGTTAAAAATTGTTGTTTGGCAAAAATAAAAATGTATAAGTAGTAAAACAATTTTATTTTAAAATTTTTCTTATTAAAAATTGACTTGTTAATATTATTATGGTTGAATATGTTAATATGTTTATTTGAATTAAGCTATTTTGTTTAAATAAAAGAAAATTCAATTCTTTTGCATTAAAAAAATAGAATAACATTATTTTAAATTACCTCCAATGGTTTATTCTCAATATATTCATTATTTATAGTGCTGAACTTTTCACTCTCAATATCACCATTAGTTGATTTGCTTTCAGTTATTTCACTTAATTCTTTAATAACAATTTGTGCTTGTAAAGCATCCTAAATATTAGTTATGGTTTAAACAAAATAATATTATTCTTACATTTTTTTAATAACACTTCACAAAAAATTAATTTTTTTCATCACCATTTAAGAAATGTTATAATTAAATAATAATAATAAATGAATAAAATAAAATAATTACTTGTTCCAATGATTTTAATCTTGCTTGGCGCCAAGCAGCTTTTTTTTCAGCATTTAGTGCACGTTGTTCAGCAGGTGACAATTCTTTATCATCATTGAATGAAACACCCTGAAATGAATATAAATTAATTTTACTGTAGCACTATTCATTTAACTTTTTTACTATCATACATCTTGATTAAGTCGATCTTTAAGTCTTTTTTCTGCTTTAGCTGTCCGTACACACATATCAGAATTGGGTGGTTTTTGATTATCAGAACCAACATTACTGAAATAGATTTTTAATAAGAAAAAATTAAAATAAATTTTAAATCATTAAAAAAGTATATAATAGTACATACAGTTCGTTTTTGTACACCAATGCTCCATCATCTTCATCAAAATCATCTTCTTCAATAAATTTTTTATGAGGATTTATTTTTTGTTTTATCAAAGTACCCATTTTTTGCTCTATTAACATATACATATTAATATTTCAAGTATTAGAGACTTCAATAAAAGTATTTATAATAAGTTCATTAAGTTACCTTCTTCCTGTTTCATTTTTTCAACTTCATCTTGACTTAAAAAACTGAATATCCTTTCTAGATATAAAATTGTAATAATTTGTGAAAAAACTAAATTTTGACAAAACTTGTGTTATTTAATTATAAATTATTTATTACCAGGTTTTGGGCTTGGATTATGATGTTCTTCCATTGCTTTCTCAAAAAACTTTTTTTTGTCACTTACTGACGCTTTAGGACTAGACGTTTGCTAAAATATAGATAAATAATAAATAATTATACTTTAAATTAGTTGTAAAAATTAAAAAATGTAATACATGAAAATAGAAGCATTTAAACTAAAAACAAGCTAGTATGAAGAGCAATTAAAATATACTCAATATTATCAATACAGTATCAAGAAGATCATACCTCACTAGGATTAGCCGTATTGTAATAAGTCAAAAGCGATGGGGTATCATTATAAACATCCAACCAATGAGGAGTAGACTGCAAGGATGGATGTGTAGAATAATTTACAGGAGGAGGGTCTAGTGATTGTGTAGTTTCTAAAGAAGAGTTACTTTCTATATCAGTAAATATTGGAGTTTGAAATTGTTGAATAGGTACTATGTTTACTTTAGTAACATAAGGTACCATTTCTACATGATTAGGAACAGGTTGTTCTACTATAAGAGTACGGAGAGGATAAATTTTATTGACAAGAGTAGGAGAATCCTGGAAATGTATGCGTTTGGTAGACACACGATTAGGATTTTTCATTAATGAGGATTTCTTAGGGATTAAATCAATTATAGGCGTTGTTTTAAGCTGTTTCTGAACAACTACCTGTTAATGATTCATGCAACAAATAAGAGCAATGTTAATGTATTTTGGCAGCATAATTGATTATTTTTTAATCCATAGGCGTAAATATACAATGAATTAAAAAAATAATGATGTAGTAATGTTCTGCAAATTATTAATTCTGAATTTTAATCCCAGAGTTCTAGTATATAAATAGTAGTACGTGCTTATTCTTGGTTTTCAATATTATATGATTTAGTTTAAAATAACAAAAAAGTAATTTATTAAGATCAATAATTAAAAAAATATAAATATTAGTCAAAGAATAAGATTACACAAAGTTTAATAATTTTATACACTGAAAGTGTAGTATATAATACATAATTCAAGCTAATAGTTATCATTTTGTAATAATTGATAAAGTCAACAATAATATCTTATTTTACATAAAATATTTTACAAGTAATTTAATTGGTATGTCATAATTTTAAAATTATTTAAACAATATGAGAATTAAAAAAAAAAAATTATTTAACAAAAATACACAATAAATACATTATTTAGAACTATTTAAATGGTCCACCAAGTACTTTAAATATTAATAATATGTATGTGAATAGTGAATTTACTAAAAGTGAGCTTTAATTGTATACTTAATTAATACAGATCTTTATGAACAACAAAATTGCATAAAGTATGATCACATTTTGCTTAAAAATTAAGCATATAATAAAAAAAAATTAAAAATAAGGTAATAATTAGATTACACATAAGAATTAACTAAAAATTGATTTAAAATGGTTAAATTAAATTTTTAATTGTTTTTTATTATTTACATTGAAGGTTTAACAATGCTTCTATTGTTATGTGCATAATGTTATAATCCGGTGGCAGAATTAGAATCCAGCTGAAAATAATAAATTTAAACACAATTTTTACTTTACAATATTTTTTATAATAAGTAACCTGTAAGGCATAAATAGACAAAATTTCAAACTATAGTTAAATCAATGCAAAGAGAAATATATAACTTGAAATCCATTCACTTCATTAGCATATCATTACCAAAAAAGGGAAAAGTGTAATAATGAAATAAAATTGTAGCATTGAATTATATTTATTTTAAAAAACTAAAAATATAATAAATTATTGAAAATTTATGTTTGGCACTTTATTAAAATATATTTTTACAGATTATTTTTAAATTAGTAGAAGAATTTCCTCAAATTTTTTTAGAATATATCACCTATTAAATAAACATTATTTTCAGATTTTTTTTTTTTTTCATATAAATAATACTGATATATCAAAACAATAAAATAATCGATTTTGTAAGAGTTAACTTTTATAAAATAAGGAGTTAAACAATAAAGTATACTTTTAAATAGATATTTTTATTAATAAATGTTTTATATTTGTAAGTTATTTGTCATGATAAATAAGAAAAAATAATTTTGAAAAATTAAATAAAAACACACAATGTAAATTTTTAGCTCGCAAAAATATAAAATTTATTAAAATAAAAATATGATAAGTTTATATCATATTTCAAAGTTTATATACTAAACTATGCAACAATTGTGCATAAATTATAAAATTAAAATTAATTACAAAAAACCATTTACACAGACAAGAAAAATGATATATATGTAAAGAAATCATTCAATTAACATAGGTGATTTTAAATAAGAATTTATTTTTTTTAATGAATAAAATATAAATAACTTGCTGTCATGCAAAGGTAACCTAATGGTTTTCAAATTAATTTTTTGGTTACATTATAATATTAAATTAAAAGATAATTAAATATTTAAGCTAAAGTAAATATACATTTTTAAATTTTAATTACAAATGAATTGGATGCAATACGAATGCAATATTAAAATCATTTTAAATTTATGTCAATTTATTTAGAAAGTAATCTTAAATATATTTTTTGTTCTAATTTTATAATATTTTACAATTAAATAAGTAAATGATTGTTTTCCTATAAAAATAACAATATACTAAAATATTAAAAAGAAAGCCAAAATGGATTCTCAAGTAAAACAGATATTGAACTTTTAATAATTCTTTAATATAGATTTTTAATATATATATATATATATATATATATATATATAAAAAAGTTAACAGCCAAAATAAGCACATGCTACGCATTTACAATAATTTTTATAAGCTATATTTTCACGCCAATGAAAATATCAAATGAATCTACAAAGCAAAAGACAAAATAATTACATGTCTTTTCTTATTAAGTTCATTTATTTAGTTTTTAAAATACTCACTTGATCAGTTTGAGGGGCTAAAGTATGTTTACTCATTACAACAGTGGTTGTTTTTAAGCTGTCACCTGATTTTGGACCACCAGGTGATTTAGGCTTCACAGTATTAGATTCGGTTGAGTTGAATGTTAACATTTCAGCAGCACGTACCACATCCAATACCTTAGTATATAAATTAAAAAAAAAATATTCCAAAACAAAATTTTATCAAATTACCTTTTCTTGAGTAGATTTTTCTCTGGCTTCATCAATTTCCATACTTTCTAGTTCTTCTTTGATTAATTTTTCTTGATTTTCCCACTCAGCCAATTCTTTTTTTATTTCCATTTCTTGTTTAAAGACTTCAGAATCTTCATCATCTCTATCTAAGCTTGAAACGCTTTGAGAAATTGATCTACTTTCTCGTCTGAGTTTTCCTTCATTAACTAGCCTATCAATTTCTGCTTTATCATAACCCTTACAAACAATCATATGAATTTTTTGACCAGCAGTACGTAGACAGTTAACAGCTTCTTGATGGGTAACTCCTAGTAATGATATATCATTTACTTCTAATAAACGCATTCCCACCTACAAATGTTAGCATATAACAATGTAATATTAACTAATTATTTTAAATAATTCTAAAAAAAACAATACCAAGTAATTTAAGATAAAAAAAAAAAAAAAATAAGTATGAAATTAATCAAAGTACAAGAAAATTACCTTTAATCGGCCATCTCGTTTAGCAGCACCTCCAGAATTAATTTTAGATATGAATACACCTTCATCACTTTTATCCAATGGATTACCACGATGTCCACGAAGGCCTCCTTTAATATGCATACCAAGTTTTTCATTAGCTTCTCGAACAATTGTTAATTCCTAAATTTAATTGTTACTTATATAGTTTTGTTATTATAATAATTTAACTAAGTTTATGTAAATTAAAAATTACTTGAAAATTTTCTGGAAGAGGGTCATGTTGAACAGTTAAAGTAATTTCTTCAGTTGGTTTTAAAAGAGTAAGTACAGCATCTTGATGAGTCATTTTAGTTACATCTTCATCATTAACTTTTAATAGACGGTCACCCATTCGCAATTTTCCAGAACACTCTGCTATTCCACCTCGAACAATCTAAAATGTCAATGTATAATAATAATAGAATACTTTTTTTTGTTAAATAAAGATTTTTTCATAAAAATCTACATGTTACAATTTTATTTATTTTTATTAACTATAGTAAATATAGTTTATTGTAAAAAAAAAAGGTAGAGTTTAGGGGTAACTCTTTTAGAAATAATTGTTTTTATAATAAAATTAATATTTACTATAGTTCACAAAAATAAATCAAATTTTAATCTGTGCACTTTTATAAAAAAAATTGATTTAATAAAAAAAAAAAAAAAAGAGGTTAATATTTCTAATTAATCTCTTTGTATATAAAATAGGCAATTATAAAGAAAGTGGCGTCAGTCAACTTTAATAATTTTTTAGAATAGTTATTAAATACATTTTAGTACCATAAAGACCAATATAAATGTAGATTTTTAAAATGTAATATTATTCATTTAAAAAAAATTATATTGTTATTGTTGATACCAAAGAAAAAATTTAATTTAAAATATTTATTTTATGGTCTAACTCATTTTACCAAATTTTTTTTACACCATTCTAGCCTTCAATTATACAACTTAATAAATTGTTTTACTCAAGATAATTATAGGATGCTAAAATTAAATGGAGATAGTATTACAGTAGAGTAATTGACCCAAATTGTACACTTAATAAATAGGCCTTCTTCTAAGTATACAACCAATTTCTCATTGTGCCCTAATAAATCTTAAAATTAAATATTATAGTACTCACATGAGAAATGAATATTCCATGTTCTTGTTGTCCAAATGGTATACATGGATGGTCTGTGCCACCTATAATACTAAAGCCCCAAGATCCGCCTTCTTTAACTAAAGTGACGTTCTATTAAAAAAACATAAATGAGATTTAAATAAAAAAACTTAAGCTTGCTCTTCAAAACATTAGACTATAAAAAAACTAAAAACCTTTAGTACTGCCCTATAATACTTAAATTGACACACAAACATTTGCCTATAACATGGATTAATTATCTTGTTATTTATTAATTGGTAAAAAACCTTTTTGCAATTTTACGTGAAAATACCTACTTGATTCCTTTTTTGTAAACCTTCACCGTGCTGGTATGGTAAAAAACCAAATTACCAAAATCAAATAATTAAAAATAAACAATATGGCTATATTATTATAAAGTCACATAAAAAAACTCCTAAATAAAACATAACCGTGCAGTAAAAAATCACCAAATTAAACTAAACTATTCCAAAAGTTTCATAAAAGTAGAAATTAAAGAAAAATTCATGTTTATGTATGTAAAAAATAAATATATATATCAACACATTAAATATAAATGTAAAATTTTATTTATTAGGTTTAAATTTTATTACTATAATGTAATTTTTTTATGTGCACTTTTGATAAAGGAAAGTTTAAAAAAATAGTATATATTGTTTATTAAAACTTTCTTTACTTTTACTTTAATTTGACTTGTATCAAAAAATTTAACTTTTTTTTGTTAATTATTGTTAGTAATTTCTAATAAAATCATGAGCTTGTTCTATTAAAGTGATTTATTTAAATTTTTTCATATTAACTTCCCATCACCTCATATATTTATTAAAAAAAACGGATTATCTTTTAAATTAATAAATTGCAATAATTTAATAGTAATTATTAAATATTTTATTTGAATTTGATAATATATCTAATAAATAAATGCATAATAAAAGTACAAATGAAGTTAAATGTTTAATATTGGAGTCAATAATATTAAACCTAAAGCTTAGAAAAATGAATTAATTTTATTTAAATTATTTTTTTTTGTGCTATCAACAATTTATAAACTTTATAAATGTATTACTTATTCATTTAAAAATTTTTTTGCTCTCTATACAAAATTATATTTGATAACCTACAAAAATTCAAACTGATTCTTGGTATAAACTTAACAAAATAATTAAAGAAAAGATCACCTGAAAATTTTAGTTAATTTTTATGTTAGTATCGACATTAGGAAATATAATTTAATTTATTAATTGTGATATTAAAATATTAGGATGGTGAAGATGAATCACCGTTAATTACTTGATTAAATAATATAAAAGACTTTGTAGAAATATAAAAACTTGCATTTTAAAATTGTGTTTGATATAATTTCTTTAGCAATTTAGATGATTTTTTAATAAAAAACGGATATTATAAGTTACATTTTAGAAAATGTCAGTAATTATAACATAGCATGAGACTATGATAATATAAATCTTTAAACCAATAGCATAAGAGTTTAGGCATTCAAATAAATTATTAAAAAAAGCTTTAACCATTTCAAAAAACAAATATATATAAAACCTAGCTAAATCAATAATTTTTCAGCCCAAATCCAAGTTTGATTTAACTCAAAAAGTATAGTTATATTCAACTGGTTAGAAAAACCAGTTTCTTCAAAAAATATAATTCAATTTAATCTTTAGTCTTTTTACAAAATAACAAGGGATTAGAATTTTTAACAAGAAATAAATGTTTAACAGAAATTTAGTTTTGTTAAAAAAATTAGCATTTTAAGCAAAAATATCCAATCTTTAAATGTACTTATTTTTGATAGAGCAATGTATGAGTATAAAAAATGATGTAGTCACTATGTTAGAATGATAATGAGTTATGTTTATAATACACGCACAGTTCCAAAATCTATTAAGCAATTATGTTTAGAATATTCAAGAATTATTACCATGCAGATTTTAGTGAAAAGAAAATGAATCATAGTAATGTATGTTTGTGTGTCAAAATAAAATTTGCATTAGGTAAAAATTATTGTGGCAAATAAAAAAAAAGGAGTCAAAAAATATTTTTAATAATCAAAACAATATTTCAGCAAGAAAATTATCATGCAAATTACCTATTGTATACAAGTTGTAAATAATTTACATATTTTTTACACATTTACAAGATTACTTACAAAGTAATAATTCATATTAATTTTACTCATGCAAGGTAATTGTAAAGATATTTCATGCATAAAGCTCAAATTAAAATAAGTAAACAAAAATTAAACGAATGTTTGTTTATTAAAATTATTTGCACTTACCTCAATAATAATAGATTCAGCAAGAGTATTGTCAGTTACTCTAGTCACAACAGTTTCAGTAAATGTACTTTTGGTTATAGTCTCAGTAACTCGGCCTAATGTTGTAGGACTTTCATTAAACTCTATGCCATTCAAACTAACAGGTTTTTTAATTGTCAATGTTGTTACAACAGCTACAGGTTGATCATCAACCTGTCTCTTGTTCAACTTTTGAAAACGTTGAGGAATCATAGCTTCAAAGTCTTCATTTGTCAATGGCTTTTGCTAATTATGATAATTTAAAATGAATCCCAAAGAAATATAATATTATGGATCAAAATTTAATTGTGCAGTAAAATAATAGTATAGGTAGTTTGTGTGTCAATTTTTAAATAGAATAAAATTAAATATTATCAACAAATTTTACTTGTACGCTTTCAGTTTCTGAACTTATTGATGATTGTGATGCCAATTTTCTAGGTGCTGGTTTAGGTGGGGTTTGCGGTGGCGCAGGTGGTGGCGTTTTAGGAGATATATATGAACGAGATTTGGTAGGTATAGCACTTGGTGATAATGAGTGATGTGATTCAGAGTCTGAATATCGGATATCAACTGAACGTTCACATACAAGTCGTACAAAACGTTCAAGACCAGTTAACATAGATACAGCTTGATCATGACGAGCACCAGTCACATCAATGCCATTAATCTGAATAATTATAATAGTTATGTTAATCTATAGCTAAATTAGTTATACATATTAATATTTTACCGAAATAACTCGATCTCCCATTTGTAATTTACCATCTTTTTCAGCAGCACCACCTTCCGTAATTCGTGAAATAAAAATGGCCTTAAAAAATATATATAAATAAATAAATAATATCATTTTCATTAAAAATGAAATTAATTACTTCAGAGTTATCCTTAAAAGGAGTACATCCTTTGCCTCCAGCAATGCTAAATCCAAGACCATTTTGATCTCTTATAAGGGTTGTATACACTAATTGCTTTTTTGTTGTATCTAAATCTTTTAACAACTCTGGAGTTTTTCGATTCTAAAAAAAAAAAAAAAAAAAATTTACAATAAATTGAGATTTTTGAGGCTTATTCACTTACTCTTTCAAGGGAATGGCCATTTGTGTTTTCATAGTTGGTGTGATGTGAAATAACACTAGGAGCTCGACTATTGCTTACACTAGATGATGTTGATTCTCCTGGAACATGTATGGCCCATTCCTTAGGTTGAGGATTAATTTCTCTCAATATTTCAAGAACTAAAACCGAACCACAGGATCGTAAAATTTCAACAGAAGTGTAATGATCAACATCAATTAATGAATGACCATTTGCAGATAGAACTTTATCACCAACCTATTAAAAATTAAATCAATATTTAAGTATTTATTAGGTACAAATTAAACAATATGGTACATCAAATTAGGCACATACTCTTAGTCCAGCTAAATCAGCAGGTCCATCTGGTGTAAGTCTAGAAACAAATATTCCTTCATCATTTCCTTTAAATGGAGTAGAATTTCTACCACCAGCTATTGATAGCCCTAAACCTGCTGATGTTCTTTCGATACGAACTTCCATGAGTTCTTCTTTACCAACCATTTCACCATCTAAATTAAATGTAATATTTTAGCAAAAATCAATATAATGGAAAATTTTATTTACAGACCACATTTTTTATATATTAATATTCTAACTCGTTTAGGATAAGATTTTTTTTTACTATTCGGAATATGTTTAATAGAAGATAAAAATACAGACTTCATTGTGCAATAAACTAATAACAACTAAATAGTTAAAACTTATATTTACCAAGAACAGTTTGATCAACTAAAGACTCAGGTGGAGTGGGAAATAGTACAGTACTCTTATCTTCAGATAAGGAATTTGACATGTTTTCGTTATTAGTCAATTGAGCCTCCTATGATAAAATAAATAACAATATTACATGGTTATTAATAAATAAATTTAAAATAATTTATTTATTATTTAAATTGAATATTAATATTAAATTAAAAAAAATTTGGAGTTAGTGTAAATCATTTAACATGAACCATTTTGATTAATCGTTGTTATAAACAAATACTTCATGATTCATAAATTAAAAAGAAATATCAAACTAAAAGAAACCAATAAAAATTATCAATATTATTTTTAGTATTCGATTAATTAAATACTTTATGATAAATTAATTGCCCTATAAATGAAATTAATCATTAAGATTTGAGGAATGATTTTAGCTTTAATTTTTGGTCAGCGCTTAACTTAAGCTTCTTTAGTAGTTTTGCTAATATTTAAATAATAATTGATTTCATTTACAGTTAATTATGGAATATTTTTTTCTAAATATAATTAATGTATGTAAAACTGATCTTCCAGATGACCAAATACGCTTATTTTATTTTAAAAAAATTTCGGTTTTTGACCAATACATTATTTAAATCAATATAAGATAATAAAAAAAAGTCAAAATATTTTTATATTATGGTAAATTTGATTTTGATAACAAAATTACCAATAGAAATAAAATTTATACACCTAAAAGTTGTAGAAAATTTCTTATAAAATTGATAAAATTTGACTTTATATCAAAATATAGAAAAAAAAAACACTAATATAGTTTTATTATTTTTTTTCTTTTATTTTTAAATAAACTACCTGTTGTTCAATTAAACTAGAATCAATTGTAATCCTTTTGTTTTTTAAATGATGAGGAGTGTCTCTTCTATGTAGTTTCATGGGCCTATTTTGAATATCAGCATCAAAGTTGGAAGATGGATGAAATACTACATTTTTTTCCTAAAAGATTAATAATCCACAAGAAACTTTTTACTTCAGTATTTACAGAATAACATATATAAAGAATTATGTTTCAAAAATTTATTGTTGCATTTTTTTTGTACTTAAAATTAAAGTAAACGGAATAATAATAAAAAAATAGTTTATTACCTCAAAATTATTTTCATCTTCTAAAGTATTACTATTCTCAACATGTGAATTAATTTCTTCAGTATATTTATCACTATTTACTTCATTAATATTGTATTTTTCCTATAATTTAAATAAAATGTATAATTATTTACTAGCAAATTAGGTTTTTAACTGTTAAATATTTACATATGAGTCGTCTTCTTTTTGGCTGTCAGTTAAACTGTTTTCATTACTTTTGGTTTTACCAAAAAGTTTAGTAGCTTTAGCTTTTAACTCTTTAGGATGTGGTGTATTATGTCGTACAAATGATGTCTGAAAATAAAATTTGGTAAAGCAAAATACATTGATTACTAGAGACAACTATATTGTTTTTGTTTTGTGGAAGTTTGAGTGGAACAAGGTCAACTGTTAATGAATAGAAGTTAATTGACCAATTTATAATTTGAATGACTTATACACTTCCAGCACAATAATTCTAACCATACTGACATACATATTTAAATACTTCTTATATATTAACATAAACATTTTTTAAACAAGTCTACATTTGATTTTTCTAAATTAATATTTCAAGAAAAAGAACTTTGTTGTTTTTTAAACTAATAATCAGAATTCTACTTAAAAAATTATTATTGTTTTTAAATTTAATCAATTAGTTAAATAATTTAATTTAAAGTTATTTAATAAAATGAAAAACTCACATTTGTACTTGGTTCAGTCTTAATATCACCAGTAAATTGAACAGACGTAGTTCTTGAATTGGCCTTATTTTCCCATTCATTATCTTCATTTTCACTGGTTTCATCATCTGGAGGTGAGTACAATGATTGGTCATAGTCACCAGTGATCAAGCCTACAAAGAATGTGCATGCCATGCGGAAAGTTGTAATAAAGCATAGAGTGTGCTAAATATAACATATTAGTATGTTTTTGGTGTAGCTAGTAGCACATTGATAGATATTACATGGAAAAATGTATAACCTAATTATAAGAGCATATAAATAAACTTGTGCCTAACAAATAAAATATTTAAGTAATTATGTATAACTATGTGAAAACGAATTGATATATTAAACAATATAGCTAAGATTTATTACAAAATACATGTAAAATATATGGAAATTTTTATTAAAAAAAAAAAAATTAATAAACACATCATTGTAAAATTAATATTTTTTCAGCTTCTCATCGAAGCTAAAAATAAAATATTTATAGTTACTCACAAAATATAAAAACAAGTACTAAAAATTTGTATTAAATACTATGATAGAAGAATTATACTAAGTGTAAAATTTTTAGATGTTAAATTCTGAAGATTTATTTTTAATTTGATAGTTAAAAAATTCGTGCATAATAACATGCTACTTTCTATTAAGTAAATATGTTAATATTTAATTAGAAAAATGCATACCATTTGTTTCCCCTCTAATTTCAAGCTGAGGCAATAGAAAACAAGTTAAAACTTGCTCTCCTGTTTTTTCATCTTCATCAGTTTGAAAATTGAGCATTGGTTGAGCTTGGTTTTTGGACAACCAAACAGCTTTTAAATTTAAACTAGCCAGAGAAAATGGTAAATATTGTAAACTAAAATTAAATACATAAATATTAAAAATTAAATGTATACATTTTTTATAATCAACTTGTTTTACTTGTTTCCAGAAACATCTAAAACATGCAATTCAAAACAATTTCCTACTTCATTAGGCAAATATTGTAATTTATTATCACGTAATGATAAAATTCCTAATTGGTTTAAATTCCCTATTTCAATAGGTAAACTATGAAGACTATTGCGATCAACATTTAGATTTGTTAAATTTATAAGTCTACCAATACTAGATGGTAGTTCAACCAAAAAGTTTTCCGTCAAGATAAGTTCCTGGAGATTTTCACAGCTATAAAAAATTATATTTTATAATTACAAAATAATTAATACAATTTTGTTTATTAAAAATAAATATATAACATTACAATAAAATTAATGTTTGAACGAATGACTAACATTATTTTGTTAGCATCAACAAAGTTTAGTATAAATAGAATTACAACATTTTTAACTGAATAATTTATGTAACATAAAAATAAATACCTAAGCTAAAATAATTTTAATTTAATAAATTGATAGATATTTAAAAGTTCTATTCTTAGAGATAAATTTATAATTTTTGTAATATATACCATCCAATTTTATCATTTAAAATAGTCAAACGATTTTGGTCAACTTTAAGGATCATAAGACGACTAAGTTCTCCAATTCCATTCGGCAGGATTTCAATTACATTTTGAGATAAATGCAGGTCAGTTAAACTTTCTAAACCTCCAATTTCTTCAGGTATATTTTCTAAACGATTTTCAGAGACATCTAAACAGGTTAACTGTTTCAGATTTCCTATTTCCTAGAATGGAAAAAATTAATTAGTTTAAAATATACACTAAATTAATTTATGAAAGATAAATAAACTTTAAACAATAATAATATTTTCTTAATTTAATTTAAAATAAGTTATTACCGCCGGTAAATGTTGTAAATGGTTATGATCTAACCATAGTTCTTGAAGTACTGGAAGGTTACCTATGTGATGTGGCTATAAAAGAAAAATATATTTATATCAAAATTCTTATATGAACATATATTTTTTTCAAAAAAAGAAAAAGAATAAGTACTTACTAAATGATCTATTTCATTGTCACCTAAATCTAAACGTTCTAATCGAGTTAATTGTGATAGTGATAAGGGTAGAGATGTCAAAAGATTTTCTCGCAATTCAAGAGATTTTAAATTGACTAACCTAAAATACATATAAATATATATATTTAAATCACAATTGCATTAATATTTAAAAAATAGCACCAAAAAAAGTTTATGGTTTTTTAAATACCCAATTTTTATAAATATATATTTTTTTATTATAACTTTAAAATTTTTTATTGTTAAATATAAATCTGAAACTAGTATTTTGGTTCTATCTATATACAGTTATAATGATAAAAATTAAATACTTGTGATTTTTGTAAAATTCATAAAAAAAGAGAATTAAAGATAATTAGAGTGATTGTTGTAAAGCGTTTATCTAGTTAAAATAGTTACACTTATTTATATTAACACTACTTTTTGCTACTTTTACAGATTGGATAAGTGCAACAAATATATAATAAAAACACTCATAATGAAGTCACAAAAAAAAAAATTAAGAATTTTCAATCAAATATAATACATTTAAAATTAAAATCTATTTATCTTAATTAAACAAAAAATATATTTATTTTTAAACTTACAGTCCAAAATCAGCTGGTAAATTACTTAAGGACATGTCATTAAGACCTAAAGTTGTGAGATTATGTAGTTGTGAGAATCCAGATGGTAATCTATATTAATTAAAATTGTTAAATTAGCATTAAAATTTATTTATTCATTTTTTTTAATATTAAATAAATTACTTTGGTATCGGGTTACTGCTGAAGTCAGCCACTTGTAAGAGCCTCAAACTTCTAATTTCATCTGGTATATCAGGTATGTCTGAAAATAAAAAAATTATTTAAGTAACAATAAAGAAACTTACCAGATACATAGGCGCAACTAGAATGAAATGATTGGGTATGCTAAATTAATTATTCTCTCACCCTAAAACTTTTTTTTATGTAACAATATACACATTTATGGAAACTTCAGTTAACCCAAAAATTTAAGTTGAGCATTTGAAATTTACTTTAAAAAATCCAAATAAGATTTAAATTTTTTTTCTATTTTCATTAGTTTTTAGAAAAAAAAAACATTTTCCTTAAAAATTGAAAAAATATCCCTCGCTCCATATAAATATAGTAAATCCCCCCAAAAATTACAATTTTTAATATTGGTAAATTTTGGTATTTAAAATTATCAAATCAAAATAATTCTTTTTAATATAGATACTTTACATATTTTTATTTTATTTGATATAAATTTGTTGAAAACCTGACTATTTACCTGCCCACAGGGGGGATTTAAAATAGCAAATTTTTCACAAAAGTCAATTTTTTTAACTTAATTTTTGAAAATGTTTTAGAAATACTGTGTTCTTTAAACACTTGTTAAATTAAAGCTTATATTCCATGTTATAAGTTAAAAAAAAAATTGTCCCAACATCCTGTCTTCTGTGTGCAAATGGACATCAAATTTAAACATATTTAATAAATAAATTTGAATTTATCAATAATTTATTTATATATTATACTTATAAATCATATAACTTAGGATATAAATAAGGAAATAGGAGTTCATTTTAATTTTGGAATAATCCACCTATTTCTTAAAATTAAACACTATCTACAGATTTGCATCAAAGCGTTTCTTATGATAGTGATTTTAATCACTGTCAGATATCATCTATACTAGTCCCAACTATTTTACGCCCACACTGTGATACCATTTTTTAAGTTTTAAATTTGTTCATTAACTCTGTTGTCACTGACGAAAAAAATTAGATAATTGATATACGTTTGGTCTGGATTGGTTATTTAAAATTAATTTCTATTTTCTTGATATGAAATGTATTTAGGGACACCACATACTAAACATATACATGGTTTTATTTATAATAACTGTTAATTATTATTGTAAATATTACTTTTAATTTTTTTTAATTAATAAATTGTTTTTTTATATCTAAAATTGTATACATCAGATTTCAGTAAATTTACAATGTAAATGATCAATTATTGTAACATTAAACAATATTAAATATAAAATAACATTAGTATAGTTAAATGGGATCCATCCTACAGCCATACATGTTTAATGAAGACATTTTTTAAAAATATTTCTAGAGTCTCTTTATAAATACACTACAGATACATGAGAGAAAACAATGCTTTTTCAAGAGAAGATCTCTCTTTTTTTTTTAATTTTCATTTATATACATCAAATTAAATAAATTATACATAAAATAAATAATATTAAATTAAAAGCATTAAATTTCTTACATTAACTACAACTATTTTCTTATCGAAAAAATATTTTTTGAAAATTTTTCATGTACAAAGTATAATTAATACATTACGTATATCATTGGGCTAATTTACAAAATTAAAATTGGATAACAAAATACAGATTATTGCTGAAGATAGAATGTTTTTTGGCTTTTTTAGTAAATAATTTAGCTAAAAGAATTTATGAATAATGAACATTATATGATATGCCTAAATGAAAATAAAAAATAAATTTTTAGTTATCATGAAAAAAAAAAACAATTTTGTATTTTAATTTGTAATTGTTTTATATAAGTTAAGTGAAGTCCTGTTGAGACGGTAAAAGTAAAAAGACGAAAAAATTCAATTTTGTGAGTAACAATGACGTGAGAATGTCAGATGATGCCAAACAATAAAGTGAATTTATATTTTTATTTGCCAACTGACTTATTATTATATATGTATAGTTAAAACAAGGTGATTGACCCTTCTTTATAATGTTGATGGAGTCGACCACTATATAATAATAACTTTGAAACCAGTTTACTGCCACTGCCGAGGATGAGTGAAGAATACGGATGGATAGATACAGTCTACTTGAATTACTATACAAACGAATAACATTCGAGAGACACTGAAGGTTGTATGGTCTAGTTATTGAATTGTGTGATCAAAATAAAAGGATCAATTATTAACACCTAATCATCATAATGGACAATACGAAAAAAAAATCATACAACCTATAGAGATTAAAAGTATAACTTGTGTATCTCTAAGATATAATAGAAACGAATATACAGCCACAAATAGTTTGACATTGATAATTTTTTTTTGGCGCTCAGTAAAAGAGAAATTCGACTAAAAAGAAAAGCTACGAATAATTTAATTTTTATCGAATTTAGTTTATTTGAAATGTTCTAATCTTAAGTGTTGTTTGATAACACTAGAATATCATAAAATATTTTTAAATTATATTTTAAAATATGATAAATAATGTACTGTATGATTTATACACAGTGGCGTACCCAAGGGAGGCTGGAGGGAGTACGCCATTATAACTGTTATCAATATATGACTTTGTCGTTAGAAAGAGTATGTGATAAGCAAAAAAAAGATCTTTAGTTCCACCCTTGAAAAAATCCTCCGTACGCCTCCGTTCATCAATAAGATCAATAGTAATTGAACTTAATGTTAAAGTGATTTACATTATACACAGAATAATAGATATAAAACAAATCGAATAAGTTGTTATAATTTTAATTAATTATGTTGTAATATTTCACGACCGCAAACCCGATTTATTTATAATTTCGTACTATTTTTGTAATAAAAATACACATTTATACATTGTATTAATTAAACGTGTAAAAAAATTAACAACCTAGAAGGAATTATTAAATTAACATTAAAATATTCATATCATAGAATTTAATTTTTATTTAATTGATTTTAAGTTTTTGGAAGATAACTGTGGTCGTAAGCCAGTCGGTACTTTATGCATTTATAAATTTTTTTTGTATTATTTCTTAGACACTCAACTTCATGCAAAACTGCATAAGTATAAACCACAAGAATATTTTTTTCTAGAGGGAAAGATCCCTTACATATCCAAATTTTAATTTTTAGTTATTATACACTATACTTAGAAAAAATAATATGAATCTCTATTAATAATTGTTGTACTTAAGATGACTTGAATAAACTGTATAATGCATTAAGTACCGAGTCTCAGTTGTAGGCAATAGGGTTTGCATCAAATAAACAATTAAATTTACTCAATCAAATCAAATTTTAATAAAAAATAATAATCAAGTACGACATATTTTTAATTATAAGTAAATATGAAGTTTTATTTTCGATGGAAATAATTCTTTTTAGGTGATTTGAATAAATTTAAGTGTCAAAAATGTGTAAATAGCTCTTGTTTAAAATTCTTTTGCATAATTTATAATAATAATAATGTAGTTAAACAACATTTATATATTTTATATTAATCAGAACGAAGTACGTTAAAAAAATTAATACACTGAAATTGCTAATTTTTTTTTTTTAGTATCATAACATCACGTTTTATTTTTCTGTTGATTAAAATAAATGCAACATTTTTTATGATACTCTCATGCAAAAATATAATTAGATTAAGGAGTAAATACTCGAGCTTAGTTTACAAATATATACAAGGGCAAATGACCTGAAGCACTACTACACGTAGGTTTTAGTCAGGTCCTGTATTTATATGTATACAAATATTTCTATATATATATATAAATCATACTGGTTTACGGATGTATGCTTGAGTTCACACTGAATAATGGAAGGAACATATAGAATATTCGTTTACATATTAGTGAATGAAGTAAATTGAAAATATTTACTATGATTATTTATTACATAGTTCAATCGAAAATTTGTTATTTTGAAAATTCAACACATTCAGCTCAGTGAAATATGCACTGACCCACTTAAAAAGATTTAAAAATTAATATTACTTTGTAAAACGCACATAATAAATAATAACCCACGACTACGAAGAAAAACGTGTCCATATTTTATTCAATAAAATAGAGAACTGAATTATAAACATTACACCCTTCGAAAGTTTTATATACCATAAAACTGAACAGACACACCAAGTTTTAATTATAACGCTATATATTGGCTAGTTACATGAAAAAATGCTTTTACAATTTCGTTTTTATTTTTAGATATAAAATATTTAACAAAAACGTAAAAGCAAAAGAAATATCTACTCTTAAAAATATTTTATTCAGAAAACAGTCTTTATTTTAAATTAATTGTACTTAATAGCTCACGTACATAATTACACTACAATTGTTTTAATAAGTACTCAGTTAAAAAATTAAAATTAATGTCAAACAATGCTGTAACAGGAAAAGTTAACAGTATCACCTTGTTATTTCTCTTTAACCATGTGTTATTAATTTTCAACATAAATTTAAATAATATAGTCCATATTTATACGTAATTTTATAAGTAAACTTAAGAACTTAATGAATAAAATTAATTTTTTTTTTTTATATAAATTATTTTTATATTCAAAGGTTTATTTATTTTCAAAGTCAACACGTAACCTCCAAGTTAAATGTATTCACTTATCTTATTTTTGTATAAAGTATAAATCGATTTTTGTGTTTAAAATAGTAAATTTTCAATCAATTTAGTATGGAAACATTTAAAGCTATGCCGTAAAACTAATTGAGTTTTAATTCGGTGTGCCTAGTATAAGGAATGGGTAGCACGTGAAATGTTCTGTGTATACGTTTTTATGATAATTAATTAAATATGTTATTGTAACGTTCCCATTTGCGGCGTATGATAAACAAAACAGTGAAAACAGTATGAAAATTGTTACAAGGACAGAAGACAGTTTCCAGTAAATACAGAAAAAAAAAAACATTTAAAAGCTGTATGATGAAAAATGGGCATTTTTACGTTATTATCTTAATAGACACTTTAGCGATGATAGTGAAATTATGAAAATACGAGTTTTAACTCAATGTACGAACCGAACGCCTAAAAATCCACCAAATATTTATGCGTCTTAATGAAAATGGCCGTAGCTAACGAATAACCTCACCGATATTGAATAATGATTATTATTACTCTAATGATACCTAACTAAAAATGTATTTAAAGAACGTTTAGATTTTTTATGTGCAAGAGTAGTCATGCGCAAGTTTAAATGTGTCAGGTAGTCAAATCCGACAAATGGGATTATTTAAAAAAGCCAATGCAATATAAATGTGTTTTGCATAAAAATTAATTACTCTTTAGCATTGTGTTTATTGTAGTAACGATACATTATGATGAAAATGTGTCACATACTAAAATTTCAATGGTGTCCATACTCTTGTACTATTAATATATATAAAAAATCCGTTATACAAGGATATATTTATACGATATATGACTATATATATATTGATACTTTTTACTACAACTTAATATGTAGGACAAAAAATATTACATTACCATGGCCTAATCGTTTCATGCAAACCGCGTCCGTTACAGTGACTAGTAATTTTCTTATAAACTGATGAGGATTTAATGTTAAGAAGGGGAACAGAAGCGCAACACATCCTTCTCGGGAATATTTAGTAAATATTTGGATACTGCTTATCGTGTAGTGTTCGACTAAGATATGTACGAAGTCCTACAATTAAACGTGTCCATACGTGACAACAATAATACAACAATGTATAAATTACGAGAACCGTCCGTGTGCAAAATCACGCGTAAAATTTATATTATTTTTTTTGCTTTTGCGAGGACCGCGTAGCGACATATGTATAATTTAAACATATATTTTATTGGGCATTATTGCACGACTGCTACATCAAAACATTAAATGGCACTTACCGTTTCGTGAAACATCTAGTTCGACTAAGTTTTCAAAGTATTGTATTTCAGGTGGAAGACGATGGATTTCGTTATCACTCAGCCCGAGCTTACGCAACCTTTGTAGTCGGAAAAAATTCTGTAAACAAAATTAATTATCAACATATAGTTTAATCAAAATACTCGATATATTTACGTAATTACACAATGTGTATTAAAATATTTTTTGATTTGTTGCGATTAATGAGTAAAAACATCAATAGATTAAAACTACTACTAATTGCAATAGTTATAAACTTTCAATTTTCTAGACAATGAAGTTTAACACTAATAAAATTATTACTAAAATATGTATTTTTTTTTTACGTAGCAAGACATTTTTTTCCAAACGAATAAAATAAACACGTTCGTAGTTGCCTATTGTATTTCATGCCTCTTCAACCAGTGAAAGTACAATTGAGTTAATATACAGGCAAAGCTTATAATTCTTTAAGACAATATTATATATAGAAGTGAATTTGTTTGTATATACAGATCACTATTTCGAAATTATCCCTGCAGCTCTTAGCTTATTATATTTTCAACAATACATTAAAGAAAAAGGTGGATGCTTTAATGAATGAAAGCTACGAGGAACGTACTAATCATAGTGAGGCCAGCTCTTGGCACAACCAAATTAATAATTAAAATGGACGCGTGAGTATATCTAGTTATTTCATAACAATGGCTCTATAAAGAAACTATCACGTGAAATAAAAAACGATTTTTGATCATTTCAATATTTAAATAATGCATTAATTTACGATGGTTTACACACACGTAAAAATTGTAAATAATCAAATAAACAAGTTGGAGTTAATAATTAAACTTTGTAATAGAAACAAGACGTCAATCAGCGTTTCCAAAAATAGATTAAATATATATAAACCCTATTACTGGATGAATATGAAAACTAATTAGTGAAACCTAATACTTTTATAAGTTTTTAAAGAATACTAATTTCTTAATAAAAATATAATAAAACAATATTATTTTTTAACAAGAGAAAACTTAGAATTTTAAATTAAGGTATTACTAAGACTATGAAGAACATAAATAATGTTAATTTTAATAAAATTATATTTTTTCTTACACTATCATAGTTTAAAGATTTAAATAATTACTTGTGTAAATATTACTACAAATTTTCTACATCTCTAATTGCTTTGAGATAACAAGATTTAAATATAATTTGTAAGTATTTAAGAAAAACAAGTCAATATGATTAAGTTGGAATGCTTTTTAAAAATTAGTTACAAAATAAAATTGTTAACAGTAAATATTCAATACACTAATAATATTATTTAATACATTAATTTATCATAAGTTCAATTGTATTTTATTAAGAAATTTAATTTTTATTACCTAAATGTTGGCTTATTGTATATATGTATTTAGTCTTAACATTTTCATCATTACCTTCTTTTTTTTTGGTACATTAAGTTTTCAAAAAAAGAAAAAAAGAAATCAACTAAAATAATTTTTAAATATAAAAGATAGATAATTTTCAATTTTTATCTTTAAACTAATCATGCAATTAAAAATTTTTGAATTTTAATTTACTTTACATTATTATATACAGTAATATTGGAACACAAATGATAGAGATTATCAATTAAATATTCTCATGTAGTATGCATTTTTATTTATAAGAAAATGTTAGTAAATACATTTTTTTATAATCTATAATTTTTTCCTTTTTTAAAGAGAAAAGTGTGATGATAAAATAATAGTTTTTGACAAAGATAATACTTGAAATAAATATTCCCTTACATTAAGTCAAAAGATTTCAAATTTGTTTATGATGAATTTCTATGTAAGTTAAATTGCATAGTATTACATTTCATGACAAATAATGACTCATAGCACTATTGTTGTTTAAATCCTTATTGAAATTGAACATAAGCATTAAATATAATTAATTTTTCCATGATTAAAAATTATATATATATATATATATAATGAAAGAATGATCTAATAGTTGATATAACATTGATATTCTTCAATTTTGAATTGAAAAAAATATTTTTATTTAGTACAAATAATAAACATTAATTAGTAAACATATAACTAAAATACACTTAATTAATAATGTACATTAATATAATAAACTCAGAAAATTATTAAGCAATTTCAATAATTTTGTATAACATCATTCAATAGAAATTTAAATAACATTATTTAATTATGCTGTTAAAATATTTTGTTTCTAGAAAACCTACAACATTTAATGTAACTATAGATTCTCTAAAATTATCATGTAATTAAATCTGATTTTAATATTTATAAATTGTTTTTTAATCAATTAAACAAATAAGAAAAATTTCATGTGCTATGCTATTCTATGGATTAACTACTGTTTTAAGTTATAAAAAGAATTTAATATAATAAATATAAGATATTTTTATTTTAGATTTTGATACAAAACTTATTAGGCATGACAAAAATTGAAAATAATTAAAAATTATTTGTAAAACATATTGTTTTGATACAATTGATTTCTCTAGATTCCCCTTAATGTGCTATTGTATATAACAGGCAGAGCAATCAAATTTAAATAACTCAATGGAATCGAATTATAGTATCAGTGCACCAATTAACGTATTACATTTTAAACTGAATTATAAAGTTTACTTAATATAAATGGATTAATATGAGACATGTTAATCTAAAGTCATAAGTGAACTTTAATAAAATTGCAGCATTAAATAGAGTCTGGCAATGTGACACAATTTAGATAGTTAAACTGTTTAATCTTATAAATATTTTAAAGATTATTTATATCAAAATATATTTGGTTTAATTAGGTATTGATAAAATAAAAATATAAATTTATAAAAAAAATCTTAGTTACCTTAGGGAGTTCTCTTAAGTGATTAGCATCTAATAATAGTTCTTCCAGACTCCTGGCATACCTCAGGATTTCTTCGGGTACTGAACTTAACGAACTGTGTCTTTTATCAACACATTCAACCTGCCTATTGCAGCCTTTGAATATTGGTATGCAGCGAAACATGGTCACTGCTAGATGATCAATTTATTGGCGGCATAGGGCACTAAGCATTTAATTCAAAAGTGTTTCTTGGGGACAGTGGATTGGATAAAACCTGTAAACGAAAGGTGAGTTTGTGTATTGGTATTTTTCAGTGACTCATAAGTGACAGGGCATAACGAAACAAGATTTAAAACATTGAAAATTTAACTACACTATTGACTCTTGCGCACAAATATTATAAGAAATGATTTACGCAACTTTAACAAAATTAATACGAATAATTAACAGAAAATTGACTATTTGATAGTATCACATTTAGAGATATTTAACGGTTAGCACAAACCTTTTGCGTGGGCGAAGATGCCTGTATTTACGATCCCATAATAATATTTAACAATCATAAGTAGACGCGAAGCAACAATCGCGATGAACAGCGCGGCAAACCATCAGAAACCGATTTCCGTTGCCCGTTGGGAGTGTATAACGTATACTAAACAACACTAAGCGATTACCACTGTCAGTGCTACACACACTACACAGTTGACGTAATCTTGATCCTCCGCCGCCCGCATTCCACATTCCTGAACGCACGGAGAAAATTTTTACAGGCGTACAGTGTAACCCCACGGGCAATAGGAAATATCGACTAAATACAGTTTAGCCACCTACGACACCTGTGGACTACATTATCACAATTACACCACGTAGATAAACAAGTATCAAAAACAGTTAATTTTTTTACATTTATCTCTCTAGAAATTAATATTTTACACATAGTTTTAAAATTTTGAATTTTAATTTATATGGTTAATCTATTTATTACAGTAAAAATGTTTGTCTACAGCATGCGATGGAGTATTTTTAATTATACTTAATTATTGTATGGTGGACTGAATGTCTTATTATGTCTTCATCTGATGAAATTGCAGCTAATCTAAGCTACAACGATATAGCTCGAAAATTACTTAATGATCGGTTGTTATTGACTGCTTTAGAACTGCATTATGAATTGGTTGAAGCTGGTAAAGAATTGCCTGGTCTTCGAGAGTTCTTCTCCAATCCATCAAACTTCGAACACACTTCTCCACAGAATGATAACATCAGTATTACACTTAGTATGGGTATGTTTATTAAATACTAGTTTACCAAAAATAAATTAAAATTCTATTTTATCAAAAATTTTTTAGGTCGTTCATCAAGTCAGGCAACATTAGATTCATTAGAATTAACTCGATATTCTGAAGATGGTGACAAAACCATAAATGAGCGAATTGCAGTATTGGAATTTGAATTAAGAAAAGCAAAAGATACTATTAATGCCCTTAGAGCTAACTTAACTGTTGCAGCTGTAGGTAATTATTTATATAATTGAAAAAACTAAAATTAGGTTTATTAAGAATATAAGTAAATACAAATATTGTAGAGCCTGAAGAATTTAATAGAGAAAATAATAATCAAAAAAATGAATATGATGAACCAATAAAACCCCATGAACAAAGGGTACTTAACTTTTTGGTGAATGAATACCTTATGCAGAATAGTTATAAACTAACATCAATCACATTTTCTGATGAAAATGAAAATCAAGTATTAAATCATTTTTAAAAATACTATATTTTATACTTTAATATTACAAAATTTTTATAGGATTTTGAAATTTGGGATGATGTAGGTCTTAATATTTCAAGACCTCCCCATTTATTATCCTTGTATCGAGATAGAGCAAAATGTTACTTGAAAAAAGATGAATATTGTCAGAGTAATATAATTGATTTTGCAAATTTTTCAACTCAGGTAAACTATAATGAATAATTATTTTTTACTTGATTAATTAACTAAATATCTTATAGACAGAAGAAAGTTACCATGACTTTAATAACAAAATTTTAATGCTTAAAGAAACTAATGAAAACCTCCTTTCTCAAGTAAATTTGTAAGTTAACTAGAATAAACTGGAAATAATTATTTTTTATTAATTATTTCTTTTTACTTTATATAGGCTCAAAACTAATAAAATTTCTGATAATTTAAGTAGCATACCAAAAGAAAAGTGGTTGCGCATTGGTAAATTACCTACAAAAGAAAATTCTGCCAAATGTGAACTACTAACATTTTACAACACACTCATAGAAAAATGTTGGCCAGATCAACAGTCTGTGTTATTAGATTTAGATGTTGTACTGAATACAGTAATGGATACAAATATAGAATTAAACTTGTACCCTCTTATAAAATTACTTGAAAATCAAAAAATTTGCCATTATCAAAATGATGACACATCAATTGATATCAATAAACAAGAGGCAAGTTAATTATTAAAATAAGAAAACATTCATTTAAAAAAAATATTTTCTGTAGGATTTTGTATTATTAAGTGTACTTATGATGCATATTCATCCTGATGAAAATGAAAAAGAAAAATTATTGTGTTCAATGTTAAACTTAAAAAAAAAACCTAGTAAAAAAGAGAGGAGCTCAATTATTCAAGGTATACTATTCATACATTTTAATCAACTATTTAAAGAGGAAAATTTTTAAACATTTTATGTGCCAAAAAAATCAATAAAAAAGATTAATAAAAATATGTATATTATAGTTCTACTATATGTTTACAGATATCTAGGTTCAATAATTGTATTTGTAAAATAATACTTTGTTAATGATAGTTCTTAGTGTTAGGTCTTGTTAAATGGTATAATATATAACACAGACCACTGGAGTTTGATAGCCATTTGTAGAAAGTATACTAGAAATTGTGTGAAAAAAGAGGAATGATACAGGATTAGAATCCGTGATCCAAGGTGCCTTAGTGACAAACCTTATTACTAGGTCACTGTGCCCCTTCAGATTTCAATACAATTTCATAAAGATTAATTACGTGTTATGAAGCTGAGGGAAATACATGTTTACATGTACAGGGTTATACATGTTTTAAGTAAATGTATCCTAATATATATTATAAAAAATTATTTTTTTATTAAATTAAAGAAATTTAATTGAGATTTTGATCATCAAATTAATATATTTTCTTAATTTGAACAGTGAATGTGTGCTTAAAATCAAATAAGTGTTATCAATTTAAAATAATTATAACAAACTATAAAATTTTATTAAATATCATTATATTTAATATAAATACTCAATACATTTATACCATGTAATAATGATCATGACACTTAAAATGTCTGCTATTTAAAATACTAATATTTAATTTAAAAATAATTTTTTATGTTATTAAAAGATGTATAAAATTGAATTTATGGAAATATAAAACATTTATCAGGAATAACGTTTTTTCATTTTTTTGGCATTTTGATTGTTTGATAATTGAACTCTTAATTTATGTTTAGTCTGATAATTATGATTACTATTTAGGTTTATCTTGGTTCATTAAGTATTCTCAAAATTATTTTTTTGATAAAATTATCTTACCAAATTTCTGGATTTTACTAAATGATAAGTATGTTGAAAGAAGGTTATTAGTCGCTGAAGGTTGTTCATTTTTTAGCCCTCACATTACTGTAAGTTGGTTGTTTATAATCGCATGGTTTAAAATTATTTTTAAATTTTTGTAATGATTTTACTGTTGTTCTGTTTTATTTTTAAGTGTGAATTGAGACAATCTCTATTGTCTCTTTTGCAACAAATTTTAATTGAAGACTCAGATGAAACTGTTCGTGCAGCTGCTATTAAAAGTATTGCAATTAATGCAGCTAATATTTTCAATAGTGATAAATATACTCAGGTTAAAAAATAATTAATTTACTATGTTAGTTTTTATTGTTCTGATTAATTGATAAAATTAGTTTAGAATTATTATGTATGTTTATTTCAAGAAAAATATTAATTACTTATAATATTTAAATTTCATAATTTAGGTTGAAGAGCTCCTTTTTATTGGTTTGAAGGATGTATGTAAAGATAATTTTGAGATTACTATTAACACATTGCTACCAGTTTTAGCTAAATGGGCATTTGATTCTGAGCGATTACAATCACATTGTTTTACCCGTCTAATAAATTCTCTTATTTCTCTAATAGAGGTAAATAAAACAAATCTGACTTTTTATTTTATTTTCATTTTAAAATCACTTTAGGCTTTAGAATCTCAAAAAAATATCCAAAAAGTTGAACTATTAGAAAGAAATTGTTGTGCTATGGTTCATGCAATTAGATCCATTCTACCATACATGGTGTTGTATGTAGCTTCGGCCCCAGAGTGTTTATCATTAAAAAAGGATCACATGTCTAGAGGAGAATTAAGTAAAATACCTCTAAAAATATTATATTAATTTTTCAAAAATAAATTAGATAATAATTAGCTATATATTCCAGGAACAGGTTTTTCAGATTTATGTGTAGGATTATGTGATCCAACAATATTTTTTTCCAACCCAGACTATAAAATTGGTATTGTGATGTGTATATTTGATATGGCTGTTGAAAACATAGATAAAACATGGACCAGACTTCAATGGCTTTTAGAATTCATGTAATTTTTTAAACAAATATATTTTAACTAAAAACTTTTCTAAAGAATTTATATATTTGTTTTATAAAAATATAAAATATTTATATATTTATGATCTTATTAGGCTGCCTAAGATGATAGATATGGCTTTTCTTGTGTCAATTTCCAATAAAAAACTTTTACAATCGCTTAAGTTTTTATTTCAATCGTTTTGCTGTGGATTTGGATCAAAGTTTACACTATCTAGGGTAATATCACATTTTTATACTCTTTTCAAAAACTAAAATAATGTTTTTAATATTATATTTTATTAGGTTAAGCCCCTATTTACTAAGAAAATTCAAGAACTAGAAAAATTATTTGCAAATGTCAATGAATCTTTACCATCATTATCAATTATTTTTCTATATTTATATACAGTATTAGCACCTATACAGGTAAATCATACATATAATAATTTAATTGTATTATTTAATATTATTGCTGTATATGCAATTAATATGATTATATTATTTAAAATTAAAATATTTTTTGAGGTTTGATTTAAATAATTTGTATATAATATTTTTTAGTCAGAAGAAACTGAACTAGAATCTTTGCTCAAGAAATATGTTTGTATGTTACCCTTATGTGGTGTTCCTATTGATGTTTTACATACAACTGTATTTGAGTTGGCTTCAAATCATTCTCATTTACATAACATAATATTATCATCGCTTTGGGAGGGTGTGTATAAGTTTGAAGGGTATATATATTGATTGTATCTTATGTTTTAGCACAATTATTGTAAATATTTATAGGAGTAATCAGTCAAAAAGAAAGTGTACGTTTAGCTGTTACCAAATTATTATCATCAATTATACCTTGTCTGTCTGATATAAATATAACTAACAGGGTAGTACCTGCTCTTATTACACTATCAAATGACTGTAATAGGTTTGTATATAAAAAATTAATTATATTTCATTCTTTGCTATAAAAAACTTATTTTTTTTTTATCATTTAATTCTATGTTTTTTCAATTAATTTTTTGTAAATTATACTTTAAAATAATGAAAGTGAAACATGATCATTGAATTGTATTTTAGTGATGTCAAAATAGCTTTGGTTCCAGTTATTGGTGAATTAATGACTTCTACTAATAATAAAGATACCATTGAAAAATGTCGGTTTCAAATGAAAAGTTTGATGGAAGACAGATCATTAAATGATAATAATGCATTTGCTACCGAACTAATAACTGCCTTTGGTAAAATGGCACCAAAATCTGATCAACTATACAGGGAAGAAGGCAAGATAATTACTATTAATGTTTTTTTTTAGTTAAAAATATAATAGATAAACAAATATATAGGAAAAAAAAAGTATATATATATTTATTAAACTCAATTGTGTAATTTTTTTTACAGTTATAATGGTGCAATTAAACATGTACTCTGGTGTAGCAGTCCGAATTAATGACATTTCGAGAAAAATTCATCTTACTAAAGTATTATTAGATGCATTTAGTTCTATACTTTATGAATGTACATTATCTCAAAGTGCAATTACTTCATCTCTATTACCTAGCTTAAGGTATAAACATTTTAAGAATAAAATATTTGAAAATATATGGAGTAAAAAAAAAAAAAAAATGAATTACAGGTGCTTAGAAGATCTGTGTATTAAAATTAATTTACCTCAAAAAGAATTATCAATTTTGTTGATCAAAGAAGCAGAATCAAAATTAGCAAACAACTTGGAAAAGTAAATAATTATTTTGTACTAAAGTTCTTGCATTTTTTGATAAACGATTGTTTAAAAAAATGGTTTAATGAAATTAAATTTTGATTTTTACCAAGTTTTCCTAATTATTTTTTTTTAAACTAGTAGTTTAATAATACTCTTTGTTTACACAATAAAATTCCAATTATAATGAGATAAATAATATACCAGAAAATAATCAATATGAAAATAATATAAATATTTAAATGTTTCAACTATAAAGGAAAAAAAATGTGAGGCATTTGGCAGATTTGAAACAAATTACTGTAGTTTTTATTATAAACGATACATTATAATTATTTAAAAAATGATTTACATCAATAAAAATATATTTTTTCTACAGTGGTAATAGTAGTGGCTTAAATGTAACTCAAGATTTAAAGCCTAAAATGGTAAAAATGTTTCAATCATCAAATATTGCTAAGCAGACTATGTTTTGGAAGAAAAGTAATTCAACACAATGAAAAATTACAATTACTACAAATGAAGACCACGTTACTTAAATTTTATGTGTTAAATGATAAAAATTTTGATTTTGTTACATAATGATCTGTATGCTGAATAATGTTGTATACTCGGATAATACTTAAAATAGGAAAGATTAATATAATATGTGATATTTAAAAAAATGATTTTTAATTGTATTACTAAGATATTTTTAATATTATAAAGTATTAGATAATGCATAATATATATATATATATTATTTTTTTGATGGATTTATAATAAATGCAATATACTAAACAGGTCATTATTATCATTTAAAATAATATTTAAAAGCTAATGGTAATTGACATTAATTTACATACTAATACACACCTTACTAAAATACTTTACTTATTAATGCTCAAATAAAAGAAGGCCCATACTAGAAGATTAATATTCATTGAATACAATTTTATTATTATAATTAAATCACGAGAATAGAACTAAACATATAATAAAAACTTGGTTCTTATCATAATACAAAATACTAGTTAACATAATTTTATACTTTTTACATATCACACATGGTACAACTCGGTCAATATCGAGGAGATTTAATAAATTAAATTTGGAAACAAAACAATTTAATATAAACATATGAGTAATAATCAGATGTGGTCACTTTTGATTAGAAAGAAAAACAATATTTTATGTTAAATTATGACTAAGCATATGAATTCCTTTTCAATAATTTTTATCATGGTAATCCAATTTAAGGTGTTATCGAGTCATAGTTTTGGAAAGTCTATATTAAGACATCAAATCAAGATGCTATATTTTAACATTTTAATTATAAAAACTAAATAGTTAATTAATTATCATTAATACAAATATAATTAAAAATTTAGTCAGCCTTTAGGTAGCGAGTAGGATGTAACTAAAATTGAAAGGGCAAATTTTAATTGGATGATACATAATAATTATTCAGAGTTTTGGTCATTTTCAACTAGACTTATTTTACCAACAGCTTGTCCCATTTTAATAGTTTGTCCAACATCAACATCAAATAAAAATTCTTTAGGTGCTTCAAATAAAAGAACTACTGTGGAACCCATTCTGAATTCTCCAACTTCTTGTCCCTTTGTCCACTTGGTTTCTAGTGAACAATCATTTTGATTGAAATCTTTTCGACGACATCGCATATTAGTTTGCAAACCCTAACAAAATAATGTAAAATTAATATTTGATAATAAATATAATAAAATTATATATAAATATATATAATTACTATTTTAAAACAAGACAATTTTTTTTCTTACTTTATCAGAATATACACGAATAGATCCTACATTTGTTGCACCAACCGCAGTCATTGAAAAGAAACCATGTTTCCACTCACCAACATATACAGCTCTCTCATTTAATACAAATAAATCCGGTAAAAATTGTGCTACTTTTGGATTTACACTTAATAACTCGCCTAAAATATTTATAAATTATTAATATTTATCTATTTATAGTTTTTAATAATTAAACAAACTTTTATAAATTTATACCTTGGAAATGTCTTCTAAATTTTACTGTCCACTCAACTGGAGAATGAAAACGATGATAATCTCCTGGGGCTAAATAAATTACCATTTGATACAACTCATTATTTGGATTATGTAATAGTTTTGATTTATACTCATTCCAATGTGGGTCAAATGGTTTACAATCATTATTATCATCATTATCAATATCAGCTTTTCTTTGAACTGAAATAGTCTTTTCAGTTGTTGTGTCAGAAAGCATAACATCTTGTTTTTTGAATGATAAACTGAAAAAGCTAACTCCTTGGTAGAGAAAATTAAAAATGAAGTTGATGCAATACATGTGCATAGTAAGTAATCCATAATGGTAAAATAAAAAAGTTGAATTAATTGACCAGCCTCCACCATTATATTTAGATGATGTATCTCGTTTCATCAAATTAGTATTCACATTACTGTTAGAGATTATATTTGGTGAAGAATTCGTTTTTGATGAACTGAATTCTTCTAACCACGTTGGGGAGCCTAAAAATGACTTAATAGTATAAGTAACACCTTTGACTTGTTCCACTTGACATGAAGTTACACGACCAGCAGTCACTATTGTACCATCAGCTGGAGATACCTAAAATTTATTATGATAGTATAGTAATTATCCAGAAATATACTTTAGTATATCTAAATAAATGTTTTACCACAGGTCGGTTAAAACAAATTGGCCTTGCATCTTCTTTAAGTCGTCTGGCAAAAAACTCCCCTAAACTTTTATAAGCTTCCATAGGTAATTCTATTTCATCAATGTTCACTCCGAATAGTTTTGAGTATGCTGTGAACATCCAATATCGTAATGGTTGCGGAATATAAAAGTCTGTTATGTAGCCCCAAAGTCGTGACATAGCTCGTAGAGGAATAGCTTTGTAAAAACATAGCTGAAATAAAAATATAAAAATAAATTAATGTATTTGTTACATATTAAATTTATTTTTCGTTTTAGAATTGTATGTTATTGATGAATTTGAAATATTACATTCTAAGAAGGTAAATAAATTTAAAAATTAAAATTTGTTTTTAATTATTTATGATAATTCTATTAATTTTTTGTACATTTTAAGTACTCAATATGGTTAGTATTTTTCATTTGTTAAGTTATTGCACTACATTATCAATTTTCATGCTGAATAGGTTAGCAAAAAACGTGACAATTCATAATTAAATACAATATATTTCATTCAATTTCGCTATGACTATAAATACAACTTATAATCATTTATTTTTTATTAGGTATAAAGATTATACTAGTAACAGTCTTAACAATAATCATTTTTTTAGAAATAGTACTTAAGTTAATATTTATTTAATTTAATTTAATTTAATTATTTGATGGCATACATTTTTTCTAATTTCGGCCATTAGATTAAAAGTAAATACAAGAATTAATTATGAAAAATTAATTATCTGAATATTAAATACACATGTTTAATATTATTAGACAGAAGATAAATATAAACAACAAATAAAAATGAGATCGTATGTTTTCAATTCAAGTTAGTGTCAATTATAGGATATATAAAAAAAACACATCAAAAATAAATCCATTAATTATTTGATAGTATATTATTGTTGAAATGACAATAATCAGTAAAACAATTTATACTTGTACCAATACATCTCCTGTTATCTTATTATACACGACTATAAACATGAACATCTCAAACTAATTGAATAAAATTTGAATATTTAAGCAACACTAAGTATGCTCCTACTAATGAATAAACGTTCTATTACCTTAAATTTTTAGCTTTAATGAGAATCTGAGAAGGTAATAATATTACTATGATGTGTTTTTTTTCGTCTATTACCACTTTTTCTCAGCTCTCACCGAACCGATTTCTTTCAACAATACGTCAAAAGATCACAAATCGTATCTAGTCGAAGATATTACCCTCAAAAATTGAAAAAATTCCCTCGTTCCTCGTAAATGGGGGAAATCTCCAAAAAAATTACAAATTTAAAAATCGCTAATTTTCGAAATTTTTTTACTTAAAACTGCCATAATTTTTTTGAAAATAATCAAATCAATATAATTTTTTTTTATAGATGTACGATTTCTTTACCTTTCATTTGGTATATATTTTTTGAAAATGACAACTCTTTCACAAAAAATTAACTTTTTATTACATACTGTTTTTTTAAGTCTGGCCTCTATTTCCCTATATACGAGGTGGGTTAAAATCTAAAAAATGCATATAGAAAGTAGAACTTTTTCAACTTAACTTTTGAAAGTTTTCCAGAAAGTGACACTTTTTTTTTTGGATAAAAAAAATTTCGGACTTTATTTTGTCTTAACGATAAAAATGGCTACCAAATGCTATTTTTCTGTGAAAATACTCGATTTTATTTTTTACATTTTAGCTTCGATGCGAAGCGGAGAAGGTATCAATTTTACTATGTTTTTTTTTTTTTTTTTTTTTTTTTT